GAAGAGTTGACTCATTGGAAAAGACCCTGATGCTGGGAGGGATTGGGGGCAGGAGGAGAAGGGGACAACAGAGGATGAGATGGCTGGATGGCATCACCGACTCAATGGGCATGAGTTTGAGTAAACTCTGGGAGTTGGTGATGGACAGGGAGGCCTGGCGTGCTGCGATTCATGGGGTCGCAAAGAGTCGGATACGACTGAGCAACTGAACTGAACTGAGCTGAACTGAAAAGACAGGCAAGCTTTGTGGAAAAAAATCACTATTTCACCTGAAAAATAGCTCAAGTTCCTGAGTATCATCCACCTGCTGGTCTGTGTTTACATCTTGTTGATCATCTCACTGAGAAGTCTTCACCACTGTTGGAACCCACACAAGGTTTGCCCCCTGCACTTGGCTGATGCCTCCTTGGTCCCTTTCAGTCTGTCAGTTTCTCTCTCCATTTCATCTTTGATTTGTAATTTATTATTTAAGGAAACTGGAATGGTTTAAAACTTCTTTTTAATATTGTGTCATTTCAGAGGTAGAGATTATTTTCAGAAATTGCATTGAGTTTCACAGAAAATGCTGAGATGAAAGGTTTAAACTGTATTTTGGGGTTTAAATAAGATTAGTGAATAAATGATGAGAACTAAACTGATAGAATGAAATTGGCAAAAAGAAAGGAAAAGTTTAAATAATGTTAAATACTATGCTGCTTTCTCAGGTTGTAAAAATCAGTGAATAATAGCATTAATGGTCACCCCTGGAGGCTGTTCAGTGCAGTCTGGATATCTGACTGTACTTTTATAGTGTGAGGAAAAGACAGGGATAGATTTTCAAAGGTGTGGTATTAAAGGCTCCAAACCTGCTTTCTGAGAAAATGGCTTGAATATCATAGGTTATATCAGGTGCTTGCTAAGTCACTTCAGTCGTGTCCAACTCTGCAGGTATATGGACTGTAGCCCACCAGGCTCCTCTGTCCATTGCATTTTGCAGGCAAGAATACTGGAGTGGGTTGCCATGCTCTCCTCCAGGGGATCTTCCCAAAACCCAGGGACTGAGCTGGGTCTCTTATATCTCCAGCATTGGCAGGTGGGTTCTTTACCACTAGAGCCACCTGGGAAGCCCTGTATCAGGTGAGCAGCATTTTACAATGATGTGGACAAACAGAATTGCTTATTTAATGGGCTTATTTCTTTGTTCTGAGTTCTTGTTCATGGGTGATCGTACATTTTCAGAAATGATGCCAAATTAGCAGGAATGAGCTGGGTATTTATTAAATGGTATAGATACCGTATAGTAAAGAAGAGAAAGCAAACATAGAACAGTGAGAAGAGTAGCTCCCATTTATTTAGAGTCCATGTGCAAATCAATTTTCTCTTTCATACATGTGCATGCACACACATAAAAAGATTTTTGAGTTATTCATTCTTTATGAGTGTCTTTGATATTCCCTTCCTCATTTTATAGTTAGTAAAACGGAGGTCTGGAGAGATGAGACACCTCATCTCTACATTTGCAGCTCAAGTTCAGATCCTGGGGCTGATGCTTTGCTGCAGCCTCATGGGAGCAACATGGACAGTGTCTGGGGCTTCACCCACCCTGGGGCGTCCGTGCAGCACAGACTCTGGTGGGACTGGGCCCTGCAGGACTGGGCTGAGCAGCGATTATTCTGTACATGATGTGACGTTTATAAACATGGACTGCTCTCCTGTTCTCTATGTAGTTGAAACATGGAGTTGTGTCCAACTCTGCAGGTATATGGACTATAGCCCACCAGGCTCCTTTGTCCATGGCATTTTGCAGGCAAGAGTACTGGAGTGGGTTGCCATGCTCTCCTTCAGGGGATCTTCCCCAAACCCAGAGATTGAGCTGGGTCTCTTATATCTCCTACATTGGCAGGTGGGTTCTTTACCACTAGCGCCTGTATCAGGGAAGCCCTGTATCAGGTGAGCAGCATTTTACAATGATATGGACAAACATCACATCCTGCACATTTCCTCCTTGGCAGGAAGGGAGGGTCAGGGTAGATAAGTAACAAAGAGCGAAGTATTTGCCCTGACTTGATCACTTGCCCGCTGTCACTTTGGACATGTTTTGTTACCTGCCTGGGCCTCTGACGTTTCTGCAGCAAAATGAGGACATTGGGTCAGAGGGTTTCCAAGAGGTTTTGCTGCTGCTCTGAAATGTACTCTATGTGTCTGATTAGCAAGGGCTCAGCAAGGACTTTACGACACCTGGGAATCACTTAGTAAGTTATGAGAGGCTCTGCTTATCTCCTTTTGGAATTCAGGTATCAGTGGATGGATATAAGGAAATCACAGGGAACAGTGGCATCCTGGAGTTAGTCTGGCATGTAGACAGAGATGGCATGTAGTAGAAAGGGCTTGGCCTTTGGAGAGAAACCGTTCTGGGTAGTAACTCCAGGTGTTTGTCTCAGTTTCCATTTTGTTAAATGGGGGAGGGGTGGGGTTACTGTAAAGGCTACAGGCCATGTCTGTGAAATGCATACAAGCCAGGATTTCAGTAAACTGTGACTATCATTACTATTCTAACTTTTTCTCTCCATCCATCCATTCACCCATCCATCCATCCATATAAATACAATAAAAATTTCTCCTTACCCTTCTTCCTACTCCCACCTCCTCCAAATCCTGGAGGATAAAACAAAAACCACACATTTTTTATATTACATCTGATAATAACAATTAGATGTATTATACCAGATGGTGATTGCAGTCATGAAATTAAACGATGCTCGTTCCTTAGAGGGAAAGTTATGACCAACCTAGACATCATATTAAAAAGCAGAGACATTACTTTGTCAACAAAGGTCCATCTAGTCAAGGCTATGGTTTTTCTAGTAGTCAGAGACATTACTTTGTCAACAAAGGTCCATCTAGTCAAGGCTATGGTTTTTCTAGTAGTCATGTATTGATGTGAGAGTTGGACTATAAAGAAAGCTGAGTGCTGAAGAATTGATGCTTTTGAACTGTGGTGTTGGAGAAAACTCTTGAGAGTCCCTTGGACTGCAAGGAGATCCAACCAGTCCATCCTAAAGGAGATCAGTCCTGGGTGTTCATTGGAAGGACTGATGTTGAAGCTGAAACTCCAATACTTTGGCGACCTGATGCAAAGAGCTGACTCATTTGAAAAGACCCTGATGCTGGGAAAGATTGAGGGCAGGAGGTGAAGGGGATGACAGAGGATGAGATGGTTGGATGGCATCATCGACTCAATGGACATGGGTTTGGGTGGACTCCTGGAGTTGGTGATGGACAGGGAGGCCTGGTGTGCTGCGGTTCATGGGGTTGCAAAGAGTCGGACAGGACTGAGTGACTGAACTGAACTGAAATAATCATTTAAGTTCCTTGAGCTGAAAATGTTTCTGTAACAAAATAGGAGGACATGAAGTAATCACATTGGCAACATTGATTCAGGCTTGATGACATCAGCTCCAAGGTCTAGGAGTCAGAAGGTTCAGGAATTGAGTCCCAGTCTGTCTGTTGATCAGGTGTGTGGTTTGGCTAATTTATCCTTACAAGCCTGTTTCTTCATCTAATGGATATAATAAAACTATCAACCTCATGAGGTTGTTTTGAGGATGAAATGTTGTTGTGATTTTAAAGACCTGATTGCTAGGGACATAGCAAGTACTCTGTAGGTATTAGAATGATTTTGAAAATAAATTAATTCTTAATTATAAGCTCAGCCAGTTTTTTGTAAAATTACAAACATAAAATGTGACATGTAAGAAAGAAGGTGTCTGAATATTTAACTTCCTTTGTTTGATTTGATGTTTCTATAGGTGCTTTACACATCGACATTATATAAATCAGCAATAACAATATTCTGTTATTGTAATATAAACAATGTAGTATGTAACATTTGTCTACATGTTATCTTTAACCACTGGGAGGCTCCTGAAAATATTTAGTCAACATGTATTTAAAGGTATCAAATTGATAAATTCTAGTTTAATATTTTCCCACATTTGGACATTTTCTTTTCAGTTTTCCTTGACAATCTTAGGCTAATAAGTATGTTGCTCCTTCTATGTCTATGTATAGAGGCCTTCAAGTCTTGAATTAGTTTAGCGTTGCCTTCATTTCAAATATACTCTTCAGTCACCACCTGGGCAGCATGATGTGAAAAAGCAGAAGGCTATGAACTGACATGACCTCGTTCAGATTCCTGCTCTTCTGTTTAACAGCTGACTATCCTCAGACCAGTGATGTGACCTCACTCAGTCTCAGTTCCCTCATCTGTGAAATGGGCCCAGTACTTCCTGTGAGTTTGTTTTGGGGGTTAGAGATAATGAGCATTCAGGGTCCAACACAGAGCTTGGTGCACAGATCTTACCCCCAGGAGCTGAGAGAAGCTGTGTGCACTTGTACAAATGATGGAGCAGAATAAGACAGGTACTTTGGGAGAAATGAGAGATGTAAATAGAACCCAGCAGGAAGAGAGATGAGTCCAGGATGGTTTCATGGGAGAGTGTGTTTGGGCTGAACCTAGAAAGATGGGCAGGATATTGACAGGCTGTGAGAGGAGGGGCGATTCCAAGTGGAAGAAAAGCTGTGAAGGAAGGTATATTCTTCCCACTGCTTGACTTGAGTCCAGCCATCCCATGCCAGGGTCTCACGTCTGGCCCACATCAACCACTTCAGCAGTCTGCTCTGTGGTGTCTCTACTGTAGGTCTCCTCTATCGCTGAAGGACCCTTGATGTGCTTCTGGGCAGGTGGCATCAAACCTGCATCGCCATTTCCTAGTTTGCCTCTAGTTTGTGTCTGCTGTTCAGTGAGAATTGGTTATATTTAATTTAGAATAAAATAATAGTAAAAATAACTTATAAGGGAATAGCAGAGGATGATATGGTTGGATGGCATCACTGGCTCGATGGACATGAGTTTGAGCCAGCTCTGGGAGTTGGTGATGGACAGGGAGGCCTGGCGTGCTGCAGTCCAGGGGGGTTGCAAACAGTCGGACATGACTGAGGGACTGAACTGAACTGAACTTAGAATAACAAACATGAATAAGAACATCTTCCTGTCAGTGGAAGGAGCAGTAATATATTCTCAACTCAAGCTTTTCCTCTTTAATTTAATCAGAAAATGGTGATTGAGAAATCAGCTTGAATTTGTTTTACTTCGAATCCTCCAAACTGTTTTTCCTTTTGGTGACTTGTTCATAAACAATTTGCAGGGTCAACAACACACTTGAAGTATTACTACCTGACTCGGGGATAGTTTCTTATGTCCTGGAAAGAGAGGCCATGAGTGCCTTTTCTAGAATGTGGTTAAGACTGTTGTTATAATGTGGTGCTATTTTAAGAAGAAAACCATTTGAATGACAGAAAATCAAAGCTTAAAAATTAAGTGGAACAGTTTGCAAGGACTGTCAACCGTGAAAGAGAGGCCAAGTAATCCTGTGTGTGTGTGTTAGGCTGAGAACACATCTCATTTTTTTTTTTAATGAAAACCAAAAGCAAGAGATGGTATTAATTTCTGAACTCAAGGAAGAAAGGTGAAATCATGATACTGTGAGGGCTTCATCTGCAGAAAGGAACTGCGGAAGTGAGGGCTTCAGTGAGGGCTTCATCTGCAGAAATGTACTGCTGTGCATCCTAGGTTGATGCCTGAGGGGTTTAGCATATAAAACCTCCAAACAAACTGTTCGTCTATGTCAAAATGTGCCAAGAGATAACTATAGGCAACCTAAGACTTCTAATATAATACTGTGTAAATTAACCCTGATTTTTATCTTGTTTTGGAAATGTTCTTGTCATATATTCTTTTTCCCCCCATGATACTCTGGGGAAAATAGGCTGATTTGTCTATTTACTTCATAAATAATATTCATATATAACTTTTGATTGATTCCCATATCCTTAAGTTACAACTTCATTTCCTTCTTAGCTTTGAGTTTTTCCTGCATCCACAAACAAGCATCTACTTAGTCCCGCTGATCTGCTGGGTGTCCCTTGAGCACACTGTTTCTTTCCTTTTGGTTTTCCTGCCCAGCTTGCTCTTTCTGCTCCCATTTCTTGTACAGACCTTGTCTGTCACTCTGTCACTTGCCGTAAGTATCACTGTGAGGGCTTGGATCAGGTGTTATCCCTTTTCTGAAAGTGGGAAGCTGAGGCCGAGATCAGCAAAATGTCCAGTTGAAGACACACTCATTCCCTGATAAAACAAGTCCTGTGCCTTCACCAGCCTGGGCCACAAGCTCTCATACCTGTATCTCTAGCACAGACATTCACACTTGCAGGTCTAGGTGCACCATGACATCACCGAGAGATCATCTCACCTTGTCCACAGTGAAGTCTCCTAAGCCTGTATCCAGCATCTTCCCCAACTCAGTAAATGGAGACCCTGTTCTTTCCCTTACTCACCCCAAACACCACAGTCCTCCTCTTCTCTTACAGCCCACACCCATCCCATCAGCAGGTCTTACAGACTCCACCTTCCAAATGTGTCTGGAGTATGATCCTGTCTCTCCATTCCTGCTGCTTCCACTGTGGTCCTGACCATGGTCATCTGTCACCTAGATTATTCCAGTAGCCTTCTCATTTGTACCCATCCTCACCCTTCCCCACTTGCTGTTTTCTGCAATGCACAGGAGTGATTCCTTAAAAACCTCAGACCACAACAGTCCTTCCCTCCCTCTTTTATTAGAGTGAACCCAAGGCTCCTCCCGCTCCGTCTACACCCTCACACCCCTCATTCTTTCTCGGCTCTGCTCTCCTGGCCTCCTTGTCCTGAACCCCTTGGGCATCTCCCCATGACCCCTTCACTCACCCCTCCCTCTGTGAGGAGCAGCCTCTCCAGGTGTGCCTGAGTCCCCTCCCCCTCCCCCAGATCTGCTCACACCCCCTCTGAGCAGAGCCCTCCCACCCCAGGGTGGACTCACTTCCCTCCTTCACTCTCCATCCCCCTGAGCTGGCTTCCTTTTCCTTCCTGTCCTCAGTACTTGTGCTCAGGTTAATTTTCCATATCGTCCCCCTCCCACCATAGAAAGAAACTCTTAGAGCTTCGTTTCTTCACAACTGAATTCATTGATCCCCAGTAAATATCTGTTAAAATGGTCAAATACATAGATGTTGTGAAAAACTAAAGAATGAAAGCAAATAGAAAATACTGAGAGTTTTTTATTTTTTTTTAATATTCGTGGTCACAGTTTAGTTACTCTATCATATACCCACTGTTGTGGCTTCCCAGGTGGCTCAGTGATAAAGAATCCACCTGCCAGTGCAGGAGACACAGAAGACATAGATTCGACCCCTGGATAGGGAAGATCCCCTGGAGAAGGAAATAGCATCCCACTCCAGTATTCTTGCCTGGAGAATCCCATGGACAGAGGAGCCTGACAGGCCATAGTCCATGGGGCTAGGAAGAGTCAGATACAACTTAGCAGCTGAGCATGCATGCACGTTGATCAAATACTTGTATGAAGAACTAACGCTAAAAGTGTAAGATGGTAGTAGAATACATTTCAAATCTTTTTCTTATTCCCTTTTCCTATCTCCATACAGGATTTACAGCTTTTGAAGGAAGGAGATCTAACTGTGATAGGAGATGGAGGAACCCCGCTGAGTGAAGGACAGAAAGCCCGGGTCAGCCTCGCCAGGTAAATGGGGTTTCAGTTGCCATCCTGCCCCTCCTCCTCTGCGGCTCCTAGTGGACATGAGCACACAGACCCAGCTCACCAAGTGGGCCTGTGTGAAGCCTTGGCCCTTTCTCTGGGCTTGTAGAAGGAACATGAAGGTTTTGGATGCCATCATGATTCAGAGATGGGACGCAGGGAGTGTGAAGTGTCTTCTCCTGACGTCTCTATGTTTTCTAGAGCTGTGTATCAGGATGCAGACATCTACCTCCTGGATGATCCGTTCAGCGCAGTGGATGCAATAGTCAGCAGGCACTTGTTCGAACAGTGAGTTTGCTCCTGTTTCCTATCGTTTCTTCTTTCCAAGAGCCCTGTAGAGATGAGGGAAGAGAGCTCAGGAAAGCCTTTGTGCTTCAGCAGACTCAGCTCGCTTTGCCCTGGTGTCCCTCCCTCCCCTCCCTTCCATCCACAGAAGATCGTAGATAAATCTTGCATCATGTTGAGGTCAAGGTAAGAAAATACAGGAGGTACTTCCAGTGTGGAGGCCAGTGGAGTCTGTGCTTAGGGAGTGAGGGATCGATGGCAGATGTCCCCCTACTACTTGCAGTTGATGAATCCAGACACTGTGGATGGATCCAGACCTCAGGAATAAAAACATGATGTGGGGTTTTTAAATCAGAGAGTGAGACTCCATAACCTCCTACTTGGCTGCCAGTTCTTTCCCTCCATCATTTGTTTCAGGCACATTAGAAGCAAAGTTTTCAGTACTGACACAGGGCTTCTGTGGAAAGACCTTGTTAGTTTATGCTTGTTATTCTATCACTTTGCAAATGAATTCTTTATTAGGCCTAGACTTAATAAAGTCTAGAATTTGAGAATCATTTATTCCACATCTGAGTATGATTTTAATCATTTCACATTATTTCATGGATGCTTACTAGAATTAATACTTAAACCTACAATGTAGGGTCAACTGTAATCTGGCCTAAGTCTTTTTTAAATTAATTTTTTTTTATTGACAGATAATTGGTTTACAGAATCTTATTTTCTGTCGAACCTCAACATGAATCAGCCATAGGTATACATATATCCCCTCCCTTTTCAACCTCCCTCCCATCTCCCTCCCAATCCCACCCCTCTCGGTTGATACAGAGGCCCTGTTTGAGTTTCCTGAGCTATGCAGCAAAATTCCCATTGGCTCTCTATTTTACATATGATAATGTAAGTTTCATACATCTTACCCTCTCCTCCCCTCTCCCCATGTCCATAGGTCTGTTCTCTATGTCTGTTTCTCCATTGTTGCCCTGTAAATAAATTCTTCAGTACCATTTTTCTAGATTCTGTATGTATGAGTTAGAATATGATATTTATCTTTCTCTTTTTGACTTACTTCACTCTGTATAATAGGTTCTAGGTTCAGCCACCTCATTAGAACTGACTCAAATGCATTCCTATGGCTCAAATGCATTTTTATGGCTGATTAATACTGGTGGTACATATACACCATGGAATATTACTCAGCCATTAAAAAGAATTCATTTGAATCAATTCTAATGAGATGGATGAAACTGGAGCCCATTATACAGAGCGAAGTAAGCCAGAAAGATAAAGACCATTACAGTATACTAACACATATATATGGA